ATAAATGGAAGGCAGACACCTCAACATAATCTAAAGGTTGTGATGGTTAGGCTGTGAGCCATCAGTTTAGTTGAGGAAGAAGTCATAAAAACTATCAACAATAGATCCTTACATGCAACGACCAAATGCAAATATGAATACACACATAGTACACGCTCAAATCTCCTCCCTAATGGAAAATTGTGGGTATTTGTTTGTAATATAAAGCTGCAAAGTTTGTTTCAAAAGTCCCAGTTGTCAGCAGTTGTTCCATCCCAAATTGAACGCTATGTAATCTGTACTCCTTCCAAACGCCACAAATAGAAAAAAAGCAATCTTGAGTTTTGTTTCAAGTTCTCCAGAAAGTCAGCTGTCCTCATTTGAACAGGTTTTGATTACCCACCTTTCCCATTCTGTTCTCCACTGTTCTGCTGGTTCAACAGTTTAGTATCAGATACAAATAGCACAAAGCACTCTTTGAACGGAAGGAATAACAACTCTCACCACCTTATTGATGGGAAATTAGGCAGGTGGATGAATTAGGCATTCACTTGTTCTTTTACACTCCTGCCTAATTTCTATTTTTCATGCTGCTTTGCATTGGGCCAACAAGATATTTTCAGCAAGCTTTTAAGCAGGTGTGCATCAATTCTAAAAAGGGAAGTTCAGCATACATTTTTTGCACAAATACATGTACTTCATCTTCACGTGGTATGTCTTCTAATACTTAAGCTGTATGTCAAATTCAAGTAGAACTCCAAGAACCAGAGCATTTCAGTTGACTAAAACCTATTGTCAGTTCATTGTGAGCCTGTTGGAATGCTAGTTTTATCACAATATAAGTGTCAATAAAATAATATATTTCTTGAAAAAATGTATGTTTATTTCTAACAGTTATGATAATGTCTTTTAAGTTGTTTGGTTCATGTTTTGAGATTTGTGTAAAATGATTGTATTTTATTTTGCCTCGAATTATTGTGTTGGAAATTATCGCGAGATTTGTGTATTTGTGTGAGACTGCAAGACTTGAAACAGAAGAAGCAGAAGCCTGGAACGGAGCTACATGCAGCAGCCCTGTGTCTCCTGTAGCCATCAAGGTATTTGTATTTATGCTAGTAATATTTTGTAAATGTATTGGTTCTGGTGTTTTAATTGCTTTATATCTTGGTTTAAAGGGAACAAGGACGAATTAATCGGTTAAAGACCTCTGAAGGCAACCACAAGGTGACTTTCGTTAAAGCATGCGTCACCTGTACTTCTGTTAATGTATCTATGTCTAAAGCTTTGTCTTTTTTATTTGTCTTTTATTAAACGGTGTTTAATAAAGAGCCCGTCAAAACAGGAAGCCGTGGCAGGGTCACTTTGGAGTTACAATAAGCATTTTATATCAATCAATAACGATAATTATCAATATTATTTATTTGTTTTTTTTTTCTTTTGAATACCTGAAATGGTGTCAAAGTTGTGGCGTGACTTTTCCTGTTTCATCCACAATTTTCACTCCACATTTTTTGGTTTTTAAGCAACTGAATGAAAACTTGGTGAAAACTCAAACTGCTGCTGCACAGTTTGGAAACAAGTTGCTGCCAGGCAACCAAAGAGTGCGTGAGTTAGTCGATGCCGCCAAACTTGCTGAAGTGCGCAGCAAAAGCCTTTCCTATGTCTACATCTCCCAGAATGCTGTGCGTTTCTGGATTGGAGTTCAGTGAAAAATCTTTTGAATATTGTAATATTGGCCTGAGACATCCACCAGGAGTCAGTAGGAGCAGAGGCAGGAGATTTGGATACAGTCTAAAGACATATTCTGTGTACAGACTCCTCACGGCCTACTTTGGTTTACATTTATGCTTGGATGATACCAGATAGCCCATCTTGACTCCTGCTTCATGTGGAAGTGTCCTGAGCTGCTAACAGTAGCAGCCAGGTTATTTCAAGCCTTTGATCACTAGGGTGGCTGTTTTCTGTGAGTGAACAGTGAAGTACAGAGAGCCTGCTGCACGTTACCCAGAGGACCAGAATGTAATCTGGTCCTCTTTAGATGAATGATCTCCACACACATACAAAAAACTGCAATAATAAAGTACAGTTCAGCTTCATTCTTTCACCAGACTATATTTGGCTCTCCATTTTTTGTTTGTTTCCATGGTAATGAGCATTGCACCATGTACAGCTGGAGCCCCGGGTATTTTCCAGAAGTTGAAACGACAGAATGGCTGCCCCTAAAACCTCAGCAAGCTTTTCCACATCCGTGTGGGTTTGTGAAGTGATCATTTCCACTCCACTGCATCCAAGAATCACTGTCTGTTAACCACTGGCCTAGTTTTCCCTTCCTGCCAGCCTGTCTGGCCGCTCAACACAAGATCCACAGTCACAACATCTGGAGAGCGTTTCACTTAAACTGTTCATGATTTCAGGGATTGTTTTTGCAGGACAAATGATCCACATGGGTAATTGACTTCAGTCATGTAGTGCTGGGCAATACGGAAGAAAAAAAAGGAATAATTTTGACTGACAGCACAAAAAACTCTGTCATATTCCATTTTTACCCATCAAATTAAAATTGATATTGATATAAAATATTCAGTTGTTTTTCATTTTTATGCTGTTTAATTAACATTCAGCAAGCTGCCATCACACATAAAGCAGATGAAAAGATAGAATTTTTGTTCCGTGGTGACAAAGACCACTAACTGTGGCCCCAGTAAATTAGAATAAATTTAAGATATGGACACTTCACCTGATGGGGTCTGAAGGCAGAGCGCCTCACATCCTCCTGGTTCGCATCTGGAGCAGAAATCTGAACTAGTTCATCAGAACCCCCAGGCTGATTCAAGTCCAACATATTACTATGTTACTGCTTTAGTCCACCTTTTGAGTAAGCAGTGCAACACCTCCAGTTTTAAACTTTTGTTCATCCTCTTAAGAGACAATTGGAACGTTTCAAACTCGATTCAACCAGGGTTTCCCCCAGTGTGTTATAAGCCTGCTGGTCCACCATGCTTTACTCGTCCCCATCACCAGGCCAAGTGTTGCATGTTTTTGTTATTAGAAAAATTAATAATCCAAAAATGATTTTTTTTTTTTTTATTAATTTAAACCAGATTGCAAGTGTCTCCGTTACTCTGAGCGTTTCACTGGCGGAGCAAATTTATTCCTAAATGATAAGTTTATGCAATTAAAGCCGGGAGAGATTTCACTGATCATGCAGGGCCCGTAAAAGACTTGATGATTCCTGGAGCAGAATTTGATTTAAGGGCCCCTCCTGCTGCTAAACTCATCAGCACCTCTATCAGCTTCTATGTTAGATTTAGTGAAATCTGGGATAGTCGGAGTACTTTAATTTCCAACCTAAAAAGCAATAAATTAGAATTTCAGTTCATTAATTTGTATTTGTGAACAAACAGAGTTTCAAACTCAAAGATTAAACTCACAGCATCAGATCGTTGTTATGGTAACAAAACAATCTAACTATGAATATTGTTCCTTGAAGTTGTAAACTTGCCAGCTCTTTAAAATGTTAAACATCTGAAAATCTTTTAATTTATTTATCTTGACACCATTAAATCAAATTTAGCAGCATTGATGATCTCAATAAATAAACGTTACATTTATGATTCTGTGGTCTGTGTTAAAATATTAGCCTTAATGGGGGCCCCTGAAGGCCTGGGGGCCCCTGAAGACCTGGGGCCCCTCATGGAGCCACTGACTTACTTTGAATGAAACAGAAGTTCACATAATTGATATTCCTTTTAATTTTATTTCTTGATTTGTTGTCTTTAAGACTAGTTGTCAGTTTAAATAGCATCTCACTGGCAATGTTTTCCTGTCACTTTTTCTGTCTACTTAACATCTTTCAATACAAAAACACGGTGGGCCGCCTCGGTGGGCCGCCTCGGTGGGCCGCCTCGGTGGGCCGCCTCGGTGGGCCGCCTCGGTGCCTCAACCACCGGGCTAAGCAAGTTTTCTGGGGGAGACCTTGTGGTCCATTTGCTCGTTCAATTAGTCATTCACACCAGGCCAACAAACTGGAGTTGGATTAAAACTGACCCAACGTGGTTGGTGTGAATGCACCCTAAAAAGCCACAAGTTCCTGCACACTCTTTGCTCTGACATCTAACATTGCTCATCTGTGCAAAAACTACATGATTCTCCACAATAAGTCCTCAGCAAGCGCAAGAGTTAAAACATCAGCTTTTAGTCATTGTACTGTATCCATTTTAGAGAAAAGAACAAACATGAACTGTTCTCAGTTCCAACCCAAACCAGGTTTCTAACTCTACCCGAGATTATTGCAAAAGCAGGTCAGGTGATCCTGCGTAGTTGCTCTAGCTTGTCCCCATCAGCTCAGCGAGTCAACCATTGGAGCACAAGATGGATGGAAACGGCCACAGATGTGATTTCCCCTCCAAGTTTACTACGAGATGGTTCAGCCCTTCTGAGCCTCACCGCATGAATCAAATATTTTGCTCTTCGTCATGCAGCTGCTACTGGTGGGGGGAAATTCCCTGCTCCTTTGTGACTCTCTGCATACTAAAGCCAACATGTGACTACTGAGCCAGTTCCTCTGTGTGAGGGTCTGCAGCAGGGACCAGTCAGCAGTGCAACGCTCAGGCAGCAGGGAGCGTCGGCCCACACTGCACACCTAATTATCAAAATCAAAAAAGGAAACGTGTGAACAGACGCTCATCTCAAGAGAAACAAACCAGTCTACTGTTCTGCCAGCCGCCACCGCTGGCATTTCCGTGAGTCAGGCACTATTTGAAGAATGAGTCACACAAAACTCAACCTGTTGCTGTGGATGAAGGCAGGGGAAGTTTAAAAAAGGAAAAGAAAAGTGAATTTACGGCTGAAGGGAGTGAGCTGTGGTTAGACTGTAACTGCATTGACTTTCTGCTGCTACAGACACGATGAGGCTGCAGAGGCGTGAGAAAGGCTGTGGCTGCAAAGAGGAAGTTGTTTTGAGGGGTGACGCTGCTAAAACGTCTTCCCTGACGACTTCTCCTCAGATGCTAGTTTCTTACCCCGGGCAGACAGCTTCTTGGTGTTGATGATTTTGGCAGCATACTCATATCCCGTGGAAATCTTCATGCACCTCTTCACAACAGAGAAAGCTCCCCTACAGGACAAAAAGAGCTGCTGGTCAGAGGTTGTGTGATCAAACATTTGATGCACTAAACTCACATGAACAGGCACTTCCTTGTTTTTCTGGAATTCTATGGAAACGAGTTCCTGAAAGATGCATTTAGCACTAGTGAATAGCTGCTGGGTTAATACTGTATCATATTAATCCATCAGAGTAAATCAGTACAATAAAGTAGCAACCACATGACACAAATTCAAAAACTTTGAGCAAAAACCTAGAAAACAGACTAACAAACATGTGGGTCTTGCACTCGCAGGAGAAATGCTTTGTGGCAGTGGAAGTTTCTAATATGGGTGACATGGGCAAACGCTCTGGGCCCCCTGCCCTTGGGGAGTGCCTTGGGTGTTTAAGGGACGCGCCGGAAGGGTGATTCACCAAGGCGCCACACAAACCACGACCGCCACTGCTTCATGCTTCAACCACTGAAATCTGATGCCACTCCATTTTGTTTATATTTCATGAAGATAGAAGTTGTGTTCGGTCCTGCATACCGTCTCCCATTTTGGCCGGTAAACTACCAGATTTTATTCCTTGTCCTGCCATCTTCCATTATTACCATTTCCCATAAATTTTACAGTATCATAATACCCACTATATTAATGTACACCCTTGTCCCTAGAGGTGTGCTTATCTCCACCGAATGTTTCAGGTGAGAGGCGGGGTCACCCTGGACAACTATGGTCTCCAACCATAGTTGTCCAGAAACAGATAGCAGCAGATAGCAGCACAGAAACAGATAGACAAACAACCATACACACACACACACACACACACACACACACACACACACACACACACACACACACACACACACACACACACCGAGGGAGAATTTAGAGAGCCCAATTAACCTGACATGTTATTGGACTGTGGGAGGAAGCCAGAGAACTCCATGCAGAAAGGCCCCGGGTCAGGAATTGAACCCAGGACCTTCTTGCTACCAACTGCACTGCTGTGCAGCCCATAATAATAATATTACAATTTCAAATAAGAATTTCTGGACCTCTCTAAACTGAATTAAGTCTCTTGCCTCATGAACCTGCAGTAGTTTGGGAGGCACTTCTGGCAAGGTTAGTGCGCCAGCAGGAGCAAATAACAGAAAAAGGTTTTTCTGTGCACTTTGTGAGTTAAACTTTCACACCTCCATGCATGCATGCATGCTGTTTATGCATTCATTTTCAGCGTCAAGTCAAACCTACTGAACTGCAGTTCTGAAGACAAAGCGAAACAACAAGCAGTTCCTTACAAAGTGACCTTTCACCCCTGGCAAAAGGAGCTTCTGATGCAAAGGCAGAGATTGGAGAACCACGCCCTCCTGGAGCAAACCTGCTGTTTGCTCCAGGAGGTCAGAGGTCAGGAGGTCACGAGGCGCGTGTTTTCAGCTCAACCCGTTCACGTTCCAGAACCGGAACAGAAACCTAAGACTCAAATGTTCTTCCCCGAGTTAGGAGAGTCCAACACCTAAAGAGACCCGAAACCGAGATTTAGCGAGGCGTCCTGCTTCCACAGGTGGACTCCGGTAGAACACGGTACCGAACCACCAACGTAATGAACAGAACTTACTTTCCCAGCTCCTCGTACAGTTGGTACTCATCAGTGAACCTGGTGCAGGTGGTTGAAGCCATGTTCAGGCGAGCAGGGAAACTGAAACCTGTCCTGATACTCTGGGACTTTTCCCCTCCGCGTCCTGTGTGAACCCGGTCCGGTCCGGTCCGGTTCGGAAAGCTCGCCGCCAAAAAAAGACAAGACAAGAAGTTCAATTAGACTGAATGAGTTGCGGTTCCGTCTCTACTCCCGGTTCCAGGTTCGTGGACCGGCTGTCACAGAGACGACGCGCTTTCTGCTCTGATACTTTGGATCGGTTCAACACAGTCAAGACACACACACACACTTCCCCATATCCGGTACCGACCCAGCAAAATAAAAGCACACACGGAGGTCTGCAGCAGGACCAGCACTGGAATCATTTTATTGCAGATTGAGTTGACGCTCTGGGCTTCCTTGGCTTTTTAAAATGCTCTGCTCAGTAATTCTACTGCAATATAATTATTGAGGTATATTTTAGAAACACAGTTACTGATTACACATTGTTTTGAAATAAATATCAAAACTATTCCATGTGACCTTTATATAATTCTGGTCTTAAGACAGTAAATCAAAAATCATATCTCTACTAAGCATTGGCCCCCCAGAAAGGGAGACTCGGACCTCACTCTGAATATGTTATGGTCCTTAGATCAATTTCATCTTATCAATCAATCACAGTTATTTTTGTAGCATATTTCAGCAACAAGGCAGTTCAAAGTGCTTTACATTATAAAAACACAAAAGTAGAAAGTCATAGAACACACAGTCACCAATTTAAACATTTTGTCAAATTCCACCGTTTCATATGAGAATCTTGATGAATGTTTCATTGATTATGTTTCAAAAGGAACTAAACAGCTTGGCTTTTAATCTTGATTTCAAGCAGCTCAGTGTTTCTGCTGTTTTACAGTTTTCTGGATGTTTGCTCCAGATTTGTGGTGCATAGATGCTGAAAGCTGCTTCTCCGTGTTTGGTTCTGGTTCTGGGGATGCAGAGCAGAACCAGAACCAGAACCTGAGAGTCTGGAAGGTTGATACAACAACAGCAGATTTTTGATGTATTGTGATGCTAAACCGTTCAGTGATTTATAAACTAGTAACAGTATTTTAAAGTTGATTCTCTGAGCTACCAGGAGTCAGTGGACCTGGATGATGTGATCTTCCTGGTTTTATGGAGAACGCCAGCAGCAGCAGCGTTCTGTGTAACTGTTTTGTTATCAATCACTCCACCCAGACTACAGGCCCGATCTATACTTTCCAGATGTAATAACTGAAGCTGATTGTATATCAGGGGTGTTGAAGTCCAATCCTCCTCCAGAGCTATCATCCTGCAATTTTCAGACGCATCCCTTCCAGGTCAGTCCAAGCCATAAGCAAAGTAAGCAGCCGCTTAGGGCTGCAGGGCCACTAAGGGGCACCCTCAGTGGAGGAGGGTTTTTTCTTGTAATGACATCTATGTTATAACAATATGAAGTGATTTGTTTTTACAGTAATATGTATTTGATAATGTATGTAGAAAAATTATTTTATGGACAAAAAGGGAAAGAAATTGCTCTTGGGGGGCCCCCTGGTGGCTGCAATAGATCATGCACACTTTACCAGTAATATGAAGTGCATTGCAATGTGCAGAGCATCCAAACGTCCAAAGCTCCAATCAGAAGTTAAGAAAGAAAAACAATGTCTCAAGAAAGGTGTTATCCTTCAGGTCTTATGTGTGTGTGTATTCCATCTTTAGCTGGGTTGCACCGATTGCAGTTTTCTGGCCAATCCCTGGTTACCGATATTTAAAAAGCCTGACCTGCTGATTTCATTTTGGCCGATACCAATTTGAAGACAGTGGTTTCAGCACATTTTCTCCTGTTTTACAGCAACCAGTACCACCATGAGTAATCCAACAGTTCAGTTTGATTCTAAGACTACATCAAGCTTGATCTAACAAATTTGTGGAAAGCTGTCTCAAAAACAGAACATAGAACCATAACACATTTGTGAATGATGGATCATTACAACTTTCAACATACTGGGTCATAAATAGTAGGCCACTGGTTAATCAAAGTAAGTAGGTCACTATGCTACTAAAAGTGCTAATAATTAAAATGTCTTTGGGCAATGAACTGATTTCAAACTTCCTGCCTCCTCAACCCTCCCAGCTCAGAAATGCTTCAGAGGCCTTATCAGGTTCACATCCTCCTGTTAAATGGATGTCTGTTAATCCCCATTTAGTCTAATCTGTGCTAATCTACTATTGAGGAAGTTGTGTTGTAAAACAAAGCACAGGCAGCTTCCTGGACTCCTCTGAAATAATGTCTTTAATTCTATATCAGGCCTGTGATCTTCTCTCATTAAGTTATATTTAATGTTATATTTGTCAGAAAGGGTTGCCTGCCTGTGAGTTAGAGACACTTTTTAAAAATCTAAATTAGCACCATTACCATGACATGAAGTTCCACTTTTAATAGATAAATTGGAACCAAAGCAGATATAGTCTTTTTCTTTGCCACCATCTAGTGGCAAGGCTTTAACATAACTACCAACTAATAATTGCTTAAGGTCTCTTCTTTTTGAAGATTCAACATCCAAGGCACTAAATATGACTTTTCCATTTTTAGAGTGTACAGAACTCTTCTTTTATGAGTAAGAGTTCTGTACACCATGTTTTAAAACTAAATGACTGAGTTCTTGTTGAATAATTGAGCCAACCCGAGCTACACCTTGTATCTGATGTACAGTACTTCTTTTTCAGTGCATTCTTTTGACTTGGGTAAAATCTGCTTAAAACTTCTACTGGTTGAGAGAATAACTCCACATGAAAGGCTAAAATGCGTTTGAAGCCATTTTTACTGCCTATATCCCCATGCAGTTTTTATTCCATTGCCTAACAGTTATTCATGTGAAGCGTGCCTCTATGACAAGAGGCTTCATTTCATTTTTAAAAGTGCTGAATAGAGGCCTTCAGTCTTCCTGAAGACAATATTGTAAATGAGCCAACCTCTCAAGGTGGGAAGCTTTTCCATAAAAGATTGCATCGATTGGAGTGATTTTTGTCACAAGCCTGTGTGATGGAACAGATTACAATGAGGTCACATCTGCTTGTCATGTCATGTGAAATGTTTGCGAACTCTCACCAAAAGAACTATTTGGGTTACATGTAAGAGGTTGGAAGGTTGTTTCCCACAGCTGCATGGGAACTTTGTTTTTTTCATTCATGTTTTTCATTCCTTATCATTGTATAAAACTTACATGTTTTTTTCTCTGGCTGGGAGAGCTTTGCGAGTTTTGCATCCAGCCTGGTTTGATCATTGATTGTCTTATGAGCTGTCTGAATTGTGCACAATGCATGAATAAACTTGAATGAGTGATTCTACCTGGACAGTGCTTGGAAATATTTTTTTCCCACAATTGACCCGGATCCCTCGACTGGACATCTGAGGTCATCGACGAACAGCATTAAGGCGCCAACCTGGACTGAACTCCAGCCTCAAACCTCGTTTACGCTTTAAGAGAGAAGAGAGCTGTTGGTCGGCTCCACGGCTTCAGTCCTGAGATGAACAAACTTAAAACCACTATTATCAGGTAAGATACTCACACAGGCTAACAAATTAACTTTACAAATTCTAAATTATAAAATGTAAAATGGTAAAGGATCCGCTAAATCTTTCACCCTGGGGAATAGAGATTGGCATTATTCTGGGTTAAAGTCTGAGAAAGAAGAAGTAAAAAAAATAAAAATTGTTTGGGTTTGAGTCCCAGACCAAGAGAAAAAGGGAACCACAGGTTTCTAGGTTGTTGTCCTGGTGAAAGTCCTTAGGACTAAGAGGCAGAGCGACCACAACGCTGATTTGTTGGAGTCTGTGAAGACGTTTGCAGTCTAAAGAGGAGATCCCACCCAATTCAAGCAGAGTGGGTCTATGTGGTTCCACACAATCTCCTCCTCAGGGTGAATTGTTTGACTATATGATAATAAAATATTGGGAAAAAAAAGAGGAATGTGCCTGGTGTGAATGGAGGTAGAATGACTTTAAATGGTGAAATTTTTCTCTGCAAAGTGAATTAGAAGGCGAGGGAAATGAATAAAGAATAAAAATGCTGAACATAAATCTATGGTAGATAAATTACAGGCCTAAATATCTTTAAACATATGATCAAACAAAAGATTAACACAAGATTCATACATACATATGTATAGAAAAACAAGGAAAGCAACAAAATAGCCTGATTGATTTCTGTTTGCTTCTTTTCCCCTCTGTCTGAGCCTCACTGCAGTGCATCTGACCTCTGACCTCAACTCCTAAACTGATCCTCCCATGGACCAGATGATGCGCCTGACCAGCCTACAAAAGCAGCCGATGAAAGTGACCGAGAGGATCCAGAGAATCAAGAAGACAGAGGAGAGAGACGAGGAAGGATTTTGCTGTAGTGACGCCGACACAGAGAGGAGAGGAGCAGAAAAGAGATAAGTGACACACACACACACACACACACACACACACACACACACACACACACACACACACACAGACTCGTTGCTATGGCAACCAATACACAACAGCCCTGCTTGCATCCATGACCTCATGACCATAAGTGTGGGTGGGAATGTAGATCAACTGGTAAATCAAGAGCTTCGCTTTTTGGCTCAGCTCTCTCTTCACCACGACGGACTGGTACAGCGCCCGCTTCACAGCAGATGCTGCGCCAATCTGCCTGTTGATCTCCCGCTCCCTTCTTCCGTCTGTGGATTTGGAGTTGATGATGCCATCGTACACCTCCTCCAACAAACCCTCTGTGATCTGGACAAAGCAGGCAGCACTGTGAGGATCGAGTTCTTTGATTTTTCTAAAGCATTTAACACTAATCAGTCTGGTCTGTTCTTTCAGAAAGTCCAGAAGAAACAGAGGGAGGCTTCTCACCATTCATTTTCACTCTGTACACTTCAGACTTCCAGCACAAGTCTGACTTCTGTCATCTCCAGAAATCTCCAGATGACTGTGCAGTTGTCAGGTGTACGAGAAGCTGAGTACAGAAAGTTGGTGGAGCGCTTTGTGTCAGAAACAATCATCTCATCTTGAATGTGAACAAAACAAAGGAAATAATTGTTGATTTCAGGAAAACAGGATTAGGTTAAATTCTATATCCATCCTGAGAGACGAACTGGAGGCATTTGAGGAATTTAAATACCACAGTGTCCATCTGGACAACAGACTGGACAGTGAAGCATCTATTAGAAGACACAGAGAAGAGTAGACTTCTCAAGGTCCTTCAAGCTTTGCAGAAAGATGCTGCAGATC